ACAGCTTTTCTGATTGAGTTCCAGTCATACAATATCTCAACACCCATCTCTCCACCAGTGTACATTTCCCACAACCAATATCCCCCATATTCTCTCTCTCTCTCTCTCTCTCTCTCTCTCTTTCTCTCCTCTCTCCCCACCCTCATTTTGGGCATTATAATTTGGGATACAGATACTGAGAGGCTATCATGTTTGGTCCTTGGCCCACTTTCAGCACACATCTCCCATCCAAAATGATCCCTTCCAACCATCATTGTCATAATGGTTTCTTCTCTATCCCAACTGCCCTTGAACCAGGCTTCCAACTAAGGACCATTTGTCCTGACCCTTGTTTCTACTGTCCTTCGGTGTTAGTCTCAAACTATGTTTTTTTTTTATATCCCACAAATGAATGCAGTTATTCTATGTCTGTCCATCTTTTGGCTTCTTTTACTTAGCATGATACTCTCCATGTGCATCCATTTATAAGAGAATTTCATGAGTTCATTTTTTTCTAACAGCTGAGTAATATTCCATTCTATAGACGTACTATAGTTTCTTTAACCATTCATCTGTTCTCGGGCACTTGGGTTGTTTCCAGATCCTGGCTATTGCAAACATTGCTGCAACGAACATTCAAGTACAGATGTCATTTCTGCTGTGTGTTTTTGCATCCTGGGGTTATTTTCCCAGAAGTGGAATTGCTGGCTCATATGAAAGCTCAATTTCTAGTTTGTTGAGGAATGTCCACATTGTTTTCCAAAAAGGCTGGACAGTAGGCATTCCTACCAACAATAAATGAGAGTTCCTTTCTCCCTGCATTTGTACCAACAACACTGGTTATTCTTATTCTTTTTGATGTGTACCAGTCTCTGTGGTATAAGGTGATATCTTATTGTTGCTTTGATTTGCATCTCCCTCATTATTAGTGATGTAGAGCACTTTTTCATGTGTCTTTGGCCATTTGTATTTCTTCTTTGAGAAAGTTTCTGTTCGTTTCTTCTCCCCATTTATTTGATGGGTTGGAAGTTTTTTTCTTATAAGTTCTTTTTTTTTATGTAGGAGTACTGCTATTTATTCAGCCACTGACTGGCTGATTGAATTGTGCATGAACTCCACTTTACTTTTTTTTATTTTTTATAATTTTATTTATTGAATCACCATGAGAGCAGTTACAAAGCTTTTGGGTCTAAGTCTCAGCCATACAATGAAAAACCCGTACCTTCACCAGTGCCCACTTCTCCACCCCCCACAACCCCAGTATACCCCCATCGCACACCCTCCCCCTACCTGTGGGACAGATGATTTCCACATTACTCTCTCTCTACTTTGATCACATTCAATATTTTGACACCAGACCCACCATTATTATTTGAGCTTTTACCCCAACACTCAGATCTGCTGAAAAGGCAACAGTAGACAATTTGTTTTCCATTGCTGGTTATGAATAACACATGATGTCACGTGGCTGCAGTAGTGGACACGCGATTTTGAAATTCCAAAATTTTAACACTTAAATCTGGAGGGATTTCTGCTAAGACCTGCTGGGTTCCGAGATTTGCTCCTGAGTCTCTGGGATCATGGCAGTTAAGCAGCTTGATCAGGAGCCAGAAAGGCCGTTTGTGGGTGATGACTTGGGGTCTCGTTGGGGTGGGGAGGACAGGACCAGCTCCACCGCCATCCCATGGGGCCCAAAATGTCTCGTCACTGCGGGCCCAAACCTGACTGTCCAATGGCTTCTGGAGGATGACGGCCACCGAGCCACCAGGGGGAAGCAGGCAGAGGGACAACACCCTTTCCCCCTGGGGTGGCCCAGCGACAGTAATCTACTGCGTGATCCAGACGCATTTCTGACAAAAGCCGCTGGGTTTCAAGATTTGTTTCTGAGTCTCTGGGATCATGGCCGTTAAGCAGCTTGATCAGGAGCCAGAGAGGCTTTTCTTTGGTGATGACTTGGGGTCTCGTTGGGGTGGGGAGGACAGGACCAGCTCCACCACCATCCCATGGGGCCCAAAATGTCTCGTCACTGCGGGCCCAAACCTGACTGTCCAATGGCTTCTGGAGGATGACGGCCACCGAGCCACCAGGGGGAAGCAGGCAGAGGACAACATCCTTTCCCCCTGGGGTGGCCCAGCGACAGTAATCTACTGCGTGATCCAGATGCATTTCTGACAAAAGCCGCTGGGTTTCAAGATTTGTTTCTGAGTCTCTGGGATCATGGCCGTTAAGCAGCTTGATCAGGAGCCAGAGAGGCTTTTCTTTGGTGATGACTTTGGGTCTCGTTGGGGTGGGAGGACAGGACCGGCTTCACCTCCATCCCATGAGGCCCTGCGTGTCTTGTCACTGTGGGCCCAAACCTGACTGTCCAGTAGCCTCTGGAGGATGGCGGCTACCGAGCCGCTGGGGGAACAGGCCAAGGCACAAAACCTATTCCCACCTGGGTTGGCCTAGCACCGGTAACCTACTGCAGGGACCAGACACATTTCTGCCAAAAGCCGCTGGATTTCGAGATTTGTTTCTGAGTCTCTGGGATCATAGCCATTAAGCAGTTCAATCAGGAACCAGAATGGCCATGCCTTCAATTATATAGCTGAGCCGGAGATGGTTTGTGGGTGTGTTTCCCACATACCTAATTTTTGGCCATTTACTTTCTTGGTAAACTTTGCCCCAAGTTTTTGGGTTATGGCCAAAGGCACAGCAGCAATTTTGGGGTATCTGGAAGTCTGAAGGCACCATCAGGCTGCTGATGCACTCGCCTCACAGGTATAGATTGACCCACTGGCGGCACCATACCCCTTTTTTTCCTATAAGTTCTACCAGTGCTTTATATATCTAGAATATTAACCCCTTATCTAACAGGAATATATAAATACTTTTAAGGATAACTTAGTGATAGTTGCTACAGTTTTTCCTGTAAATCTATTGAATGTCAGAGAAGGAAATGAACACGTAAAATAATCCATAATAGGGACTGAAGCAATAGGACAGCAGGTGGGGTGTTTCCTTCCACGTGGCCAATCTCGGTTTGATTCCTGGCATCCCATATGCTACCCTAAGCACACCAGGAGTGATTCCTGAGTGAAGAGCCAGCAGAAACCTCTAAACATACTCTCACCCCCACCCCCATTCAAAATAATCCTGAGTGCTTAGGGTTACTCCAGCATGAAGCAGGTGAGAGTGGCATGACACTCAAATATGCTCCCATTGAATCTGGACCTCCTGAATGTAAAGCATCTACAGCAGCCCTTTGAGCTATCTCTTGGGCCCAGAAATTGAGAAATAATAACCATGTTGTTTCACTCACTTGTGGGAAATGAACTGGAAAAATAAAACTTTTTAACTTCTAGATTCAGTGAAAATTGAAAATTATCGTAGTTACTGGAAGGGAAAAGGGTGGATGGGAGGTATGAGTAGAGGGGCTTTTTTTTTGGTGACAGGGACTAAATTCACACATGGTAACCTATGATGCATGTGCACTACCACTGAGCCACACCCCCAGCCTGAGGGTTTTTCTGATACTGAACCTTAGATAGCAGGTGCAGTTAGTCCTATACCCACATGGATGCATTAAGCTACACCCCTCAAACTCTATAGTGTTATAAAATAATGCCGAATTTATAATAAAAATGTAAAGGATGGTTGCGCATCCTTGTTATGTTTATTGACAGTTGCATTTCTATTCAAGAACTGCCGGTATTAGTCAGGCACTGACCCTTATGCCACTTCTATCAGAAACAGCATTTGCTTCCCCACTCACTTAACAGAAGTGGTGAATACCCTTGCCAAAAAGTCATGAAATATAAAGTCCGAAGGACCGGTTTAGATTAGTGAATATTGAAGAGGTCCTCTTGCAGAAGCTACAGTAGACAATGCGAAAGCTCTTTCCTTACTGGGAAACTTAAACACATTCTATGTGAGGAGTACATCAGTACTTGTAAGGATTAACTTAATGCCAATAACTCTAGTGTGTCCTGTAAATCTATCAGAAGTCAGAGAAGCAAACCATTGCACTAAAACACACACACGCACACAAACAAACAAAAAACACTACCCCATAGCCCTTCAGAATTTAGTATCATTCCAAAAGGAGTATAGGGATTATAGGGGGAGGGGGATAGGGAGGGAAGTGAAATAAGAGTCAAAGTTGATTTATTTTTATAAAATAATGTAGGAAACAAATAGGTTTCGAGATGACTCTTTTTCTAAAGAAAAGCTGGGTGCGGACTACCTACCCAAGGACACAACCCCAAGCATTGGTCCTGCCTGGTCCGCAGGTGAGTTCCCAGGCTGACACTATCCACCCGGGTGGTGCTGAAGCAGCGTCTGTGAGCCCAATCCTATACCCAGTCGTCGTGCCCGCAGTCTCTCCCAACTGCATCCCACATCACGAACCTTCCTCGAACTTTTGCTTGACACACACTTAAGAATCCCCGCTGAACGCACCGATCTTATCTCTGGGGGCGGGAGAGCTAGTTGCCTTGCCTTGCGTACCCCGCAATCCATGTTTGACAGATCCCTGCTCTCTCGGCCACCGTCCCCAGCTGCGCCTTAGACAAGGACCAGTTGCCTTTCACTGGGTGCATAGCTCATCCTTCCAGATCTGTGCAAAACAAAAACAAAACCAAGAAACGTGATTCGTTATTATAGCGTGTTATTCTTGAAACAAGAATATCCCTGGCAGAAAATTGCGCTCCCAAGAAGACAGAGCTCCCAAAACGCATACGGGTTTCTTTTCTTCGATTTCCTGGCTCCTCTTCCCAAACCAGTGTGGCTAAGCGGTGCACGTTCAATGGAATCTCATTTTCCCTCGCCCACTTCCCCTTAGCTCTGGGAACACTCTTATTTCCTGGCATTGAAATTATTGGCTAGCGGTTTCCTGCTTTTCGCCTCTCAGTCTCCTCGGGCCGGGTGCACCAAGCAGTGAGGTTCACAGGAGTGAGCTGGCCGGGGTGGGCTCTGCTCCTCGGTGCAGTGTCGCTGCAGCCCAGCACCGACTCCCTGCCTGGTCTCTCTTCCACCCGCCCCGAGCCGAGCGAGGAGGAGCCTAACCGTCCTCTTCCCGGGTAGAAGGGGATTGTGGTGCGTAAACAGGATTAACTCTCTCGCCCCCAGCCGCGCAGATCCGCAGGCGGCCTGCGGAGCCGGAGCGCGTCCGTCCCTGAGCGGAGCAGCGTGGCCGGGGTGCGGGGGATGGGGCAGCCCCGGGCCTCGCTGCGGTCTTTGGGGTGCGCTTCCACGGCCAGAGGCCCGGGGGTCTGCAGCCTCGGGAGCGGCGCTCGGCCAGCCGGGGCGCAGGGCGGCGACGGCGCGGGATCCTAGCCGCCCCTCCGCCACCTCCCTCTCCCTCCCCGCGCGTCCTCTCCGCCCACCGCGCTCCAGCCTCCCGGCCGCATCCCGCGCTGTCCTCCGCCTGCGGAGCCGCCGCCCTCCCCGCGCCCAGCTATGGGGGACCTGCCGGGCCTCGTGCGCCTCTCCATCGCTCTGCGCATCCAACCCAACGACGGCCCGGTCTTCTATAAGGTGGACGGGCAGCGCTTCGGCCAGAACCGAACCATCAAGCTGCTCACCGGCTCTTCCTACAAGGTGGAGGTGAAGATCAAGCCCACCACGCTGCAGGTCGAGTGAGTGCAGGCGCGCGCCGCGGCTGCGGGGTCCTTCATGGGGTGTTGGGGGCATCAGGGGCGTAGAGCACTGAGGGCTTGTCCCTTTCCCTGTCCCTCTAGCTTCGTGCCGCACCCTGTGGGCCTCGGAGGGTTGGGGGAAGAGGACAGCTTCCTGAATCCCTAGGTTCCCGCTTTTGCTTTACCCTTCTCTTACCTCTAGGCTCACTTCCCTCCACCCTTTAAAACTGTGACTGGAAACCAGGGGTTTTCACTTGCAAATTTAAGCAATTCTCAGCCCTTCCGCCCTGCCTGCCGGGCACCCCCCACCCCCAAGGCGGCCGGGCGGGGCGGGTGGGAGAAGCTCGCTGCAGATGGGCTCACCTACCTATAGCAATCTGGATTCTCTCGACACCTTAAACCTGGCATCCTGCCCCCTTGTGCCCGCGAGACTGAAGGAGGGAGAAGAGGCTGAGGTGTAAAGGCGGGAGGCATAGGTGTTCCTGAGGCTTCCCAAGAGATGCTCCCCGCTCCTCCATCCATCCTCTAAGGTAGACCCGGGCTAAAGGAGTAGCCACAATCAAAGGAAAACGTTTTCTGCTGAGGCCTAGGTTGTTTTCCTTGCCTAGTGTTTGGTTTTTTGTTTTGTTTTGTGCTTTGCTTTTTTCTTGTTTCCTTCTTTTTCTGCTGAGTTGTCTTCTGGGTTTAGCAACATCCTTCAAACAAAAACATGGATTTGGTGCATTCCTGGCGAGGATCATCTTTCTTGCTGTCACAGACTGATGCACCTACTAGACCTCTAGCTGGAAAGTCAGTAGCTCATGGGAAGGCCCAGTGCCAAAATCCTTGACCTAAGCAGGTGTGAAACCAAGAATGAAAGGGAGAATTGAAAGGACCCAAGTTTTTGTCATCTATTAGAATGAGTGGGAGTGAAGGGGGAAGAAAGAAGAAGGGGAAAGTCTTTGAATCCACCTGACTCCTTTTACACCTTTAAAATGTGAATATCCCTTGGAAGCCCCCCCTCCATGGGAGAAGCATGCTGAAAGTAGACTATAGACCAATGATGACCACTCAATACCTCTATTGCAAATCACAACACCCAAAAGGAGAGAGAGAGAGAGAGAGAGGGAGAGAGAGAGAGAGAGAGAGAGAGAGAGCAAAAGGGAATTTCCTGCCATAGAGGCGGGATGGGGGGGTGGAGGGAATGGGATGGGGGTGGTGGGAGGGAAACTGAGATCATTGGTGGTGGAGAATGGGCACTGGTGAAGGGATGGGAAGTCAAACATTGTATGAGTGAAACATAAGCATGAACGTTTGCAAATCTGTAGCTGTACCTCATGGTGATTCATTAAAAAATTAAATTAAATTTTTAAAAAATGTGAATATCCATAGCATGAATTCTGTGAACCCGTGCTGGCTCCCATGGTAGACCTTAATTCAAGGATCAAACTTGGTGGTGTGGTGCTCCTGATTCCTCTATCAGTGTTTCCCATGTGCCATGCACCCAGGAAACACATTTCCCAGGGCTCTTACCTCTACATAGTTTCCAGACTTGCCTTACCTAGGACTTCTTTTCTTGAGTTTTCTGTTCTATTGACCATTTTATTTAGGGTTCTCTGACTTTCAGGCTAACCTACAAATGAACAGCATTGTCCCAATGAAACAACTTTTTTCTAGTTACATTTAAACTTTATCAGTGGTTTCCCAGTGCTCTCAAACAGTGGCTCTTAAACTTCAGTATATAGCAGAATCATCCAAAACAATTGTTACACCATAGATGACTAAACCCCATCCTGGAGTTTTTTATTTGCTGCTTTAGGGTGGGTCTTAAACTTTAGCTGTGTAGTTAGTTGATAAGTAACTCTGAGACTGTTAGCCTAACTGAAAAGAATGACACCATGAAAACTTCTGGTGGTGTGACCAGCTTGAGGAAGACATCGACCATTTGATTTTTGGAGCAGGAAAAAAAATAATCATTAGGGAACTAGTTAAGTGGTTCTCAACTGTACCCACATAATAGAATAACCCAGAGAATTTTAAAATATGTATATGCCACCAAACCACACCCCAGACCAAATGAATCCTGGTATTTGGGATTTGAGATAAGGGTGTGTATAGGTAGGCTCTCACTATCTCTACAGATGAAAAACTAAAGAGGAGGACTGTTAAGAGTCTAACTTGACCTTTTCTAAAAATATTGACTTTGTTTCAGAGAATAAGTAACTTGCCTCTAAAACTGTGGGTCACATAACTAAATGTGATAATTGTGTAAAAGTGTATTGAGTGGGCTGGAGAGATAGTACAGTAAGCAAGGCAAAACCCCCAGTTCAATCCCAGGCACTCCAGATGGTCCCCAAACCTTCCCAGGAGTCATCCCTAAGCACAGAGCCTGGAATAAGCCCTGAGCACTGCTGGGCTCTATGCCTCTAAAAAAAAAAAATCTTGAGCCAAAAGGGGTTGCCAGTGAAAAGACTAAGAAACCCTAGTCTAGAGACACTGTCCTCCCGTTGTTCATTGATTTGCTTGAGCAGGCACCAGTAACGTCTCCATTGTGAGACTTGTTGTTACTGTTTTTGGCATATTGAATACGCCATGGGAAGCTTGCCAGGCTCTGCCATGCAGACAGGATACTCTCTGTAACTTGACAGGCTCTCCGAGAGGAACCGAGGAATCGAAACTGGGTTAAGACACATGGCTACTTAATTGGAAACCTCAAGCCTCCATAACGCTCAGAACTTTCTGCCCTACTATGGTGTCTTCTGGCTAAAAGCCAGAGCCTTAGGGGTCCCTTTCATAGAGTCGGAGAGCAGATCATGACAAAGTTCCAAAATTAATTCTACCATGTGTGGTAAACTCAAGTCCATTGCAGGAATATTTCCATTGGCGGTGTGCTCGTCCCACTGGAGCTGAAGTCTAAGGAGCCTGATGGGGACAGAATTGTTTATACGGGCATATACGACACAGAAGGTGTGGCCCCAACAAAGAGTGGAGAACGACAACCTATCCAGATCAGCATGCCGGTAAGGCCCGCTTGGGGGTGTCAGGGCAAATGGAAATCAGAGAAAAGAATATTACTCTTTCCCTGTAAGAAAAGGTATAGGGGGCTGGAGCGATTGTACAGCGGGTAGGGTGTTTACCTTGCAAGGAGCCGACTTGGGTTCAATTCCCAGCAACCCATATGGTCCCCCAAGCACTGCCAGGAGTAATTCCTGAGTGCAGAGCCAGGTGTAAGCCCTGAGGATTGCTGGATATGACCCAGAAAGCAAAAAAAAAAAGTATAAAATGAAGTGTAAAATATCATTTCAATTCATGATTGCATATTGAAATCAATTTTTCCATAATGCCTCAATAATTAATTAACCTATGCTTCTCCTACAGTCATTTTCATAGTAATTTCTTATATAGCAAAAGAGTTAAGACTTCATGCTTTCTAATCTAGCCCATTGGTCTTTCCATTCTTATGACATATTGAATTATTTAAGATATGTTATTACATAATGTGTTGTATATTTTGTAACCTTATTGAATTGAACAAAAAATTTTGTTTGATGATCTTCAGTTTTTCAGATAATCATAATTTACTAATTAACATAACTCTTTTTCTGATTTTTTTCTGTCCTTATTGTATTGATTTATATTTCTAGAATAATGTTATTTACTAAGGGATAAAGGAGTATCCTTGTCCTAGGGTTTTTTAAGTACAACATAAAGTTCAAATATTCTTTGAATTAAAGAATATTAATCTCTTCATTTCTATAAACAAAATTGAGAAATTTTTAATTTTAAACTAGAAGTTGTATAGATTTGGGGGCCAGGGAGATAGTATAGCAGAAAGGGGCTTGCCTTGCATGCTCTGTCCCTGGTTTCCAGAGCCTCCTAGGAGAAATCCCTGAGCAGAGAGCCAGGAATAAGTCCTGAGCACTGTTGAATGTGGCACAACACCAAAAACAAGATATTTGATTCCATCTATTTTTTCCTATCTATGAATATAATTGATCTCTGATATCTAATGTAAAAATTATATTAAAAACTTTCAAATATAAAACTTTGTATTTCATAAAATAAAACATAAATATCATGTATTAATTCAGTATGCTAATGTTCTATATGTATATTATACATACTATATTGTTTTGGGGGCCACATCCAGTGATACTCAGAAGTCATTCCTGGCTTTGCACTTCAAAATTATTCCTGGCTATGCTGGGGGATCATCTGGGAACATAGGGATCAAATCCTGGTCAGGCCCTTGCAAAGCAAGTGCCTCCTTGCTGTGCTATCTCTCCAGCCTCTATATGTTATATTTTTGTTTAATTTTTATTCATATAAAGTGCATACTCAGAGAAGAGTAGTAAACAAACAAACAAACAAACAAAAAAGAGTAATAAGCCATGGGTTCAACCCCTGGCACTGATCATGCTCCCTGAGTACTCTGACTAGACCCTAGTACCACTCAGTATGGCCCCCAAACCCAAACCAAAACACAAACAAAATAAATATCACTTTATTCATGAAACTTCTAATCTAGATGAGGAAAACATACTAAGTGCATAATTACCAATATCAAAGTAAGTAATAATTAGTATCAAATGTAGGAGAAACATAGAGGTGCCCTTGGAACAGGTAACTCATCCTCATCTTAGGTTTTGAGGAACGGATTTCTTATGAAAGAACTAAAAGAGCCAGAGTGATATTACAGATGGTAAGGTAGTTGTCTTGCTCATGGCCAAAACAGGTTTGATTCCTGGTCCCCCATATGGTCCCCTGACCACTGCCAGGAGTAATTCCTGAGTGCAGGGCCAGGAATAACTCCTGAATACTGCTGGGTATGACCTAAAAACCGAAACAAAACAAAACAACTGAGAATGAGTAAGATTCAAGGGAAATGAGAGGGACTGAGGAAAAGAAGCTACCAGTGTCAAGAGTTGGGCGATTGCTTAATGTGTTCAAGTAAGAGAAGCTCAACATTGCTAGTGCTGACAATAAGACAGAGCCTGGCTCAGGACAATGTTGTTCAGGTAAGCAGGAGTTTGATGGGGCTAGAGAGATAGTCCAGTGCACAAGGCCAACTTGGGTTCAATCCCCAGCACCCCATATGATCGCCCAAGCCTCTCCAAGAGTGATCTCTGAGTGTAGAGCCAGGAGTAAGCCCTGAGCACTGACAGGTATGGAAAAAAAATACATGAATTTGATGTTATAAGACCCTCTTTCTTTTAGATTTATCCTAATCCCTAAAGGAATTCATTGCAGTTTTTATGTCAACTGTGATATACAATATAGTGACAATAAAAAAAAACACAATTTTAAGTGTACAAGTCACAGATCTTAACAAATGAGCACTCTGGATTATCATTACCCCAACAAAAATATAGAGCGTTTCTTTTATCCCTTATCCCCCAAATTACCCTCATGCCCATTTGAAATCAATCCCCCAACCTAGCCCACCCTAGATTGAGCTTCATGTCTCAAGAACTCAGTTAAATTAAATCACACAGTTTATTTCATCTGACTCTTTTTACTTTGAATAATGTTCTTGAGACTTATCTATTCTGTTGCATATATGAGTAGTTCATTCCTTACTTCACTGAGTCATATCCCATTCTGTGGATACACTAAATACACTCTAAGTCTCTTCATCCCTTTACTTGCTATTTCTTTCTTTGTTTGTTTTGGAAACCTCCTTTTATTAGAGGCCCTGGAGCCACAGGCTACAGAACTTGGCCAACCAAACCAGATGGTTCAATACGAGGGCGCAGCAATGCAGTGCTGCTTGAGTCCAGCATGCTGGGATCACCATGTTCATAAAGCCATGCAATGACAAAGATTGAAGTGAGTGAGGCCTTGTGCATGCAAGATATGACCTCCAACTCCTGAGCTCTCTTTCCAGGTTTTTCACTTGCTCTTTGAACTATTCCTTGAAATGGTAAAAACATTTGAGTATAAGGATTAGTGTAAACAAGTTTGCACTTATCTTGAGTAAATATCTAGAAAGAGGATAATTGATGAGTCACAAGGTAAGTACATGTTTAACTTTGAAAAAAAAACAACCTGACTGTTGTGCACTTAATATGTCTATTATTAATCTATTAATCTATAAGAATTTTTTGCATAGTTAATTATGTAACAATCTTTCATATTTGGAAAATCAGAAAACCCTGATTTTCCAAATATAAAAAATTCAAAAATACCAAGCAACTTTGTATCATGGCTTATATTGAAACCTTAAATTTGGGTAGCAGAAATATTCCAGTTTTGCTTGTTTGAAATTATGTTGACTATCCTTGGACCTTTGCATTTCTTAGCGATCTCAGGATGAACTCATCAGTTTCTCCAAAAGTTGGGGTTTTAATTACATTTCATTAAATATATAAGTTGGACATATTTAACATTTTAATATTGAACTTTCCAATATATACATTTAACTCTCTATTTAGATCTTTGATTTCTATTTATTGTGTATTGCATCATGCAGCATGCTCTATATAGGGAATATTATATTTCATACATATTTGTTAAATTTACCATTAAGGGCATTATTTTTTCAGTGATTAAAATTATTATTATCACATAGATTTTTGCATTTTTGGTGTTTTTTTTTCTTTTTGGGTCATACCTGGTGATGCTTAGGGTTTACTCCTGACTCTGCACTAAGGAATTATTCCTGGAGGTGCTCAGGGGACCATATTGGATGTCAGGGGGATTGAACCTGGGTTGGCTGCTTGCAAGGTAAATACCCTACCTGCTATGCTATTGCTCCAGCCTCATATTTTTTTTTCAAATGAGCATACATCTCACATTGCTAAGGGTTTTTCCTTATGGTGAGAATTTTTAAGATTTGCCCTTTAGCTACTTAACTACTATATACGATATATCACACAGTATTACTAGTGACAGTCACCAGACATACATTCACAATATTTATTTTATGCTTAAATCATGCTACACTGCTGATTTATGTATGTTGAAGCTAAACTTAATTACATTAATTTTAATAGCTTTTTTTTGTAAATAATCTAGGATTTTTCTGTATATTTATCTGTAAATAAAAAGTTTCTTTTATTTTTTTCCAATCTCTATTTTCTTTCTGGCCAGAGTGATGACCAGTACATCCAGTATAATGTCCCTCCAATGGAAAGACAAAACATCTTTCTTTCTTCCTTCCTTCCTTCCTTCCTTCCTTCCTTCCTTCCTTTCTTTCTTTCTTTCTTTCTTTCTTTCGTTTTTGTTTGGGGGCCACACCTGGTGATGCTCAGGGATTACTCCTGGCCCTGCACTCAGTAATTACTCCTGGTGGTGCTCTGGGCCCATTTAGGATGTGCCTAGATCTGCCCTGTGCAAGGCAAGTGCCCTCCACACTGTACTGTTGCTCAGGCCCCACGAAATATTTTTCAGTACCAAGTACAGTGTTACATGTAAAATTTTTAGTAAAATTCCTTTTATCATAGTTGTATGCTTGCTTTTGGTATTAGGGCAATGTTGGCCTGAGAAGAATTGGAAGAATTGCTTTTGCTTCAATTCTTTGGAGAAACTTAAGAAAAATAAAAGTAATAGGATATCTTTGAAGGTTTGTAGTCAGTCACCAGCAAGAAAACAACTAAACCTGGAATTTTTATTTCAAAAGAGATTTTCCATTACTGTTTCAGTACATTTGCTTTCAGTTGACCTATTCAGATTTTTATTTCATTTGATTGGGAGATGTATGTTCTAAAATTTTTTCCATATCTTCTAGGCTCTCCAACTTCATAGCCTAAAGTTGTTCTTGGTGTCTCTTGTAACTTCTCCCCGTTTAACTTCGGGTCCTATTTATAATAGTTTTCTCTTCCTTTTCATTTGTGAACATAGCTAAGGGCTTTCCAATTCTGTTTTCTTTCAAGTACTAGCTCTTGATTTAATTGATGTTTTTATTATCACTTTGATTAATATTTCATTTATTTCTGTTGTAATTTTTCTTATTTTCTTCTTTTCTTAGTACCTTAAGGTGTGAGATTAGGGGTTTTTGTTTTAGCTTTTCTTATTATTT